TTGACTCAAAACCAGAATCATACAAAAGGGCTCCTAGCAACTAAGTTACCATTATTTTTTATGATAAATCATTCATGATTTATAATGGTTTCTTAAAAACACTTGACCCCGGAGCTTTTTATAGGAATTGATTTATTCACCAGAAACCTAATTTCCAACTGTTTTCTCTCACTTTTCAGAAACTACTTACTCAATAACCACTAGTTCTACCACAAGGATGGAACTCCCAGAAAGCAAAATGGCCTTAGAATCCTTAAAAACCATGCAACTAACACTCACCATTAAATCATTAAAACCATTACATTTTTCTCAGTTAACACTAATGCAATTTCCTATTTCATAATAATAACACCACTTAATTAAAAATGAGAAGGAGGGAAAGTGAGGAACTAGTCCACCATCACTAAGTAATGACCATGTAAAATACTTTAAGTCTCAGAAAAAATGTCAAACTTTAGCACTAGGAAAGAGCATTTAAACATAAGCTAAGGAAAATCATACTCTTTAATTACTTTACACACAGTTATCCATGTACTACTCTGTGTAGGAAGGCAAGCAAACAAATACTTTACAGTTTTAACTCATTATCAAAATTCTTGGATCATTTCTGAAGAAACAAACAAGAAGCTTTCTGGGAAGCAAATGGTCAGCTGATGCTGGAAAAATAAAATGGAAAATATTTTGTCTCATTGAAACCTTAAAATTATAACACATGTATGTTTTCACCAAAATTGAAATGCAGAAAAAGGTGAGGTTTCCCCTCAACACCACGTGACACCAGTCATCCCCATAAGAGACAATCATTCTCAGTGATTTAAATGTATTTATAGCTTTCCAAATCATTTATCTGCATGCATGCACACACACAATCTACAGAACACACAGCTTTGTATTGTAATTGTTTAACTGACTCACCTATGCATGCAGGAAAGATTATGCATTAAAGGGGAGACTTTGTTAGTTTTTATAGCTATTCCTTATTCCAGTAATAACTAACATTAAACTTAATCACACCATCATACCAAACAGGTCTTGGAAATGATGTTAAATTGGTGAAAATGAAGTTCTATAATTAAAAAAGCAAAGATATTAATAAGGTTCAAAGGAGTAAATGTTCAATATTTCAGATACCCAGTTTCATTAAAAATATTTATACATCTAGCTGATATTAAAGATCTTAAGAGAGAAGAGAATTATAGAGACTAGAGGCTGGTAAGGGTGGGTACCAAAGGCTACCATCATTTTTATCTGCTAGAGTTTAAGACTAGAAATTTGAGTTATCTTTGACTTTTCTCTCCTTTATTCCATATATCTGAACTATCTTTTCTTATCTGTCTTTTACTTTCCATTTCCTCTGCAATTACCTATCACTTCATTCTTAGTCCCAACGCTACCTGGCTTTCTATGTCCTTTTAGGTTTATCATTATTTATCCAACAAACTTCAGTGGAAAACTTTTACTCACACTTCTAATACAAAATATGGTTTTATCACATTACGACATTTTCTAGTTCTCTTGGTGTCCTACAATTTAATCCATTTGTAGTGCAGACACCAAAAGGAAAGAGCTCAAATGCACAAGACCAACCTCCATTTCAGGGACAAGTACTGAGTGCTCAGGGAGCCCACATTTCTAAATAACTTGACAACAAACCAGGGCTCCCACACCCCCTCCTCAGGTTTGATTGGTAATTCGCTATAACAGCTCACAAAACCCAAGTAAATATTTGCTTACATTAATTGGTTTATTACTTGCAGAAGCTTTTGTGCCCCTATGGAGTTGGTATTCTATCTTCCTGGAATTTTGATGTGTACCATGAAGTTCTCCAAATCTAGTAGTTTAGGGATTTTTATGAAGGCTTTCTCACATGGGCATGATGGATTATTAATTCAACCTCCAGCATCTCTTCCCTCCCTTCTAATCACTGCCTTAGTCTTTTGTTTTTTTTTTTTTTTAAATAGAGGCATGTTTTTATTTATTTATTTATTATGTTTGTTTGTTTGTTTTGTTTATACATGCACTGGGTACAGTCAGAAGCGCGGGAGGGTGAGAGAATTCACCAGAGCCAGAGCGGGGAGCAGAGCAGGCAGAGGGACTGAAGCACACTGCTGAGGGGAGCAGCGGGTGGCAGGAGAGGTCTGCGCACCATGTGGGATCCTCCTCCGGTGGCCGGGGAGCAGCCGGGGATCGAACCGGCGCCGCAGAGGCCGCGGGCAGCTTTGCAACCCAGCGCTCAACCGCTGCGCCACCGGGGAGGCCCCACTGCCTTAGTCTTTTGGTGATCAGCAGCCATCCTGAAGCTATGTAGGAACCCGAGAAAGAGTGAAGAGTTGCCTCATTAGAAAATAAATGACACTCATCACCCAGGAAATTCTAAGGGATTTAGGAATTATGTCGTGATCTGGGGTGAAAAACCAGTATTAGAACAAAAGATGCTCCTAGAACCCCTATCACTTAGGAAATTACAAAGGTTTTAGGGGTTCACATACACACACACACACTTGTCAGGTATTAATTTGTCATAATACCTTACTTCTGATTAAAAAAAAAAAAAACAAAAAAAACAAAAAAAAAAACAAAAAACAACTCTGTCCCCATGATCAACATCATACCAGTGCAGGCCTCCTGCCTGTACTGAAACCACTTTTCTTCACTTGAATTACTGTTCCACTATCCAACTCCTATCCAGTTTTTCCTATTTCCAGATAAAAACTGTCTGTCCCTGGTACCTTTGACACACTACTGTAGCAACACGTTGTTTATAGTGTCATTTTCAAATGTGTAATTTATTGGCTGGTTTTGGGAAAGGAAAAATGTAGAAACAGAACACTGAGCTAATAAACACTACAAGAGGATGACATAGTGAAGAGATTGGATTGTTTTATTTTGGGGAAAACAAATGAAAAATATTTTAAGACATAAAGGACTTGAGCTATGAGCTTTGGTTTGCTTTTTTAAAAAACTCTCATACAGGGCCTCCCGGTGGCGCAGCGGTTGAGCGCTGGGTTGCGAAGCTGCCCGCAGCCTCTGCAGCGCTGGTTTCATCCCCAGCTGCTCCCTGGCCACTGGAGGAGGGTCCCACTGGCGCACAGACCTCTCCTGCCACCCGCTGCTCCCCTCAGCAGTGTACTTCAGTCCTTCTGCCTGCTCTGCTCCCTGCTCTGGCTCTGGTGAATTCTCTCACCCTCCACTTCTGACTGTACCCAGTGCTTGTATAAATAAATAAATAAAAAAATCTTAAAAAAAAAAAAAAAAAATAAAAAACTCTCATACACACACACACACATATATATATGTATATGGTTCCTTAGAACACAGTACCTACCAGAACAGACAGTGAAAAAAACATGCAATGAACAGGTTAATTACCAGAAGTCTCCATGAACTAAGGCATGTTCCTTAATTAAACATAAAGTTTAAAGCTCTTGCTGGCAGGGAAAAAACACATAATGGAAAAAGTGACTTATTTGGAATATAGTCTAAAATTCAAAGGAATACAGTTCCTAGTCAGTAAACCTTCAATATGGATATATCACTACTGATGATGTTCTTGTTTCTCTTTTGGTAAAGAGGATTTAAAAAAAAGAGTTCATATAGATCCTGCTGATGTCCCAAATGTGCGAAAGTTTTTTTTAGAAGTCTGTTGAATTGTATTAATGAAAAATGGCAAAAGGAGTCATACTACAAACAACTTTTGCTAATTATCTCTCACATTTTCCTCTAGCTAAGGTCTGACAGACTTTCTCCAATAATCAAGAGAAATAACTGCAATTCAAATTTCTCTCCATTTTTAAGGAAGAGGCACCCTAAATAAAGCTTTTTTAGTATTACTCCATTGAAAACCCTAAGATACATGGAAAAGCTTTGGTAGGGAAATGAGCAGTTCTGGTAACACATTAAATTGTTAAACACTAATGTTCTTCAACTCTTTCAGTGGAACACTCCCTTTAAAGTGTTACTTCATTACACAAACAAGCAGAATAAATGGACCTCTAAAGATACAATCTATAAACATGCATTTATATTTTCTAGAAAGAAGGCAGGTTTTCTAAAAGCTTGTAACAAATTTCAAATGATCCCAAGTGTTAGGAATCATTGTGTGGCTGATCTGACTTGGTTCTCAATCAGTGTTTACTCCAAGATACAATCTATAACTTTTCACATGAATAGAGGCCACACAATGATGATTAAGAAGGTAGGTGGTGTAGTCATCAGATGACCAGAATCCCAAGACCAGCGCCACTACTAAGCTGTGTAATCTTGCCAAAGATTTCATTCTTCAGCCTTAATATCCACATTTGAAAGTTGGGGACAAGTCTATTTCATGGGTCACAAAGATGAATAAAATGCTAGCTGTTGTTAGCCCCTCTTTTGCCAGTTGACCTTTGTGAAGGTGGTATCTCAGGTTCAGATGCTTTTTTTGAAAGGTAATTGAAAAGCTCTTGCGCAGCCCTCTCTCGGATTGTCTTTTTGCCCATCATAAAACCTTTCCTATCTTTATCAGCAGTATTTCATACATAACCACCTCAGTCTTGATAGTGAGTCCTCCAATCAGCATTAAGTCCTACCTCTGGTTAGTTAGGTCAGTATGAGGTTAACAGCTTTGGATTCAAGCCTGTTCATGGTTATCTTATTGGGAAGGGTTGGGGATAGTGTGCTTTACTTTACTTTTCATTTTATAACTTTCATTTCCAATGGACTATCTGATTATGCATATGTATTTTAATAGCAACTTGTTGGGCATAACAATTCTGGGTCATTTATGAATCTGTTTGCTTCATTAGACTGATAATTACTTTTTTAAATTTGCATTATGAGAATCTCATTATACAAATTAAATAGAAAAAAGTCTCAAGTTAGAGATTTTAGCCTAGGTATTTCTCAACATCCAAAAGCTAGTATTTTAGTACTTTATTGGTTCCTGACAGGCCCTTAGTATTTTTTTTTTGCTTTTATTTATTTATTTTTTTAATAATAAATTTTATTGTTATATTCCCCATACAATTGCAGCCCCCCCATTCTGACCCCAATCCCTCCCCTCCCGCCCCCGCCCCCAAAAAAGTGTCTCTGGTTCATAGTTTTTTGTTGATTTTGATTTTCACTTTCTTATAGTTATTCATTTTCCTGGTCCCTTATTTAAGTTTTCTAGATTCCTGCTATGAGTGAGACCATCCGGTATTTTTCAGGCCCTTAGTATTTTTAACATAAATGGATAAAAACAAGTTTTCCCAAGCAATCTGAATTATTATCAACAGAGCTAAATCCAATTTCTTCCAGGATACGTCAGAAAATTCAAGTTTAATTTTTATTCCTTGGACTTCAAATTAATACACTGACAGTTCTGTTGGAGTTTAATATATACTGGTGCTTGTCCTCTAATTTTTGATGCTCCAATTCCTGCAAAGTATACTTTGCATAGCGATTGAGCATTGTTTGTCTTCCTGGTAAAAATGTGGGGTTTTTACTGCCAAAGCAAACTGGTTAGATGGAGTCACACACAAAATGATAGGAAGACTTAATGACAATCTGATAAAAGGTCTCTACCATTATTGTAGCTCTTCATTACCTAGTATACTGGGAGTAGGGATTATAGGAAATTGCTTTCCATGAAGTAAAAATTGGGACAAAAAAAATAATACTGGGAACAAAAAGAATTTTAAATTCCCTATTTTACTAAAAATTGTGAACAACAAACCTCTCAGACCTAAGTACTAGAAGACATACCAATTACCTTTCTTTTTTTTTTTAAAGAGGCATGCACTTTTATTTATTTATGATTTATTTGTTTGTTTGTTTGTTTTGTTTATACATGCACTGGGCACAGTCAGAAGCACGGGAAGGTGAGAGAACTCACCAGAGCCAGAGCGGGGAGCAGAGCAGGCAGAAAGACCGAAGTACACTGCTGAGGGGAGCAGCGGGCGGCAGGAGAGGTCTGCGCGCCATGTGGGAGCCCCCTCCGGTGGCCAGGGAGCAGCCGGGGGTGGAACTGGCGCTGCAGAGGCTGCGGGCAGCTTCGCAACCCAGCGCCCAACTGCTGCGCCACCGGGGAGGCCCACCAATTACCTTTCTTAAGAGAACTTTCAGATTGAGTTAAATCCTAAAGTAAAAAAGCGTACAAAGGCTACATTTTTTTCTCTTGGAGGACAGATTAAGACACATAACATAGCCATGACTTAAAAATATTATAAAGTGTGGTTTATTCTAAGTTATCCATGTTTTGATGGTTGTCAATTCAAAAGCCTTTTTTCAGTGAAGGGAGAGGATGTTTTGTTTTCAAACAGTATAGTAGTACTTATTTGGTCTTCTGCAGAATTCTGCCATTTACCACACAATTATATCCCAGAGGTGGAGGGGCACTAATACTGCACTGACTTCAATCCTTAGCTGCCTCTCCTGCCCTCCACTCCTGCATGCTGTCACTCAAAGAAAAGACAAAAACTTGCAAGCTGACCACAGATTTGAGGCATACAGCAGGGGACCGGGAGGGAGTGGAGTCAAAATGGGGGATGGATCCAGGGTGCTAAGAACTACAGGGATAACACATGACGGAAGAAATCAAATAATGTCCAAATATTAACAAAGATGTAAGAAAATAAATTTAAAAACAAACAACTACAACAACAAAACAAAGATAAGAACGAAGCATTACTTGCTATTGTTTATTTGTTGTTGAATAAAAGATTTAGGGTCAGTGTATTAGAGGTGTCCACTACTCACAGGTCATTGAGTTGAGTTAAATGACTACAGTTTTAGAAAGTTCAGTGATAGGGCCTCCCAGGTGGTGCAGCGCTGTGAAGCTGTCTGCAGCCTCTGCAGTGCGGGTTTGATTGCCAGCCGGCCAGGGAGATGCCCACATGGCGTGGCAGACCTCTCCTGACTCACCTGCTGCAACCTTCAGCAGTGTACTTCGGTCAATCTGCCTGTTCTGCTCCCAACTCTCTCTCTGGTGAATCCTCTCACCCTCCCATGCCTCTGGCCTGTACCCCAGTTCTTGTATAAATAAAAATAAAAATCTTAAAAAAAGTTCAGTGATAGAAGAGTCAGTCACAGGGTATTCTGACTTAAGTTTTAAAATTAAGACAGTGGCAGGGGGAAGACAGTCTCAAAGAAAAAAACAAATCAACTTCTCTATTAATATTATCAATCTGTATCCCTCCCCTCCAACTGACTTCAAAATGGCAAACATCCTTCTGGATTGTCCAGATAGAACCAAGGCCAAAGAAATACAGAGAACTGATTCTAAGAAAGTTAATAGGTACAATCAATCATGGATAAAGTTTTCAAACATGTAAGAACCTTTGAAAAAGTCTTCTCAAAGCAGAAATTCTCCCAATGTTCATTTTTGCTGGAAATATTTTTTAAGGTCTGTTAAAAATTTTTCTTCAGAGCCTATAATACACTCTTCTGAAAATCTTTAATCTAAAGGTTTGTTAAATGTGGCATATAGGAAAATAAGCACAAGAATACTACTATTAAATATTTACTTGGAACAAAGTATATACCAGCCATCCCCAGGTCTTAAAACTACCTTACAAGATTCCCTTACAAAGCCCATATATAATTAGATTGGTTGCTTTGCTTCAACTTTGAGAATTTTATTTCAGAAAACATAGGTCTAAGGTCACCCTGCGGAAAGATTAGATAAAAAGCTGAGGACTGGGAAAAAGATGAAAGCAACAGACAAAGTTTTGGGGTTTTTTTCTTTTGAAAAGAACGTTGGTAGAGAAGATAGTTTGTTGAGTGTGGCTAGGGAGAGAACAGTGTGCTTAAGTGGGAAAGATGAAGTTCACAGTAATGATTGGAAAATTACAATCTTTTTCACTTAATATAGCCTGCATTTCTAAGGGAAGAATGGGAGCAAGGGGTTAATAACTTTTTTACAAATAAAAAAAAGTTTTAACTGTTTAACTGTTAAAAAAAAAATCCCACTTAAAGTGAGTTCCTCTTAGAAAGCACATTCTCTGCAGAGGGTTATGAGTGGGTAGGAAGATTGTGGAGTGTCATGAAAGCAAAGCATGGACCTAAATTTTGCTGATCACCTCTTTAGTATTCTGTTTATTTATCTTCAACAGATGGATATGTTCATAAAGACTTTCTTTCATAGTTAACTAATCCCCCCCCCATCCTATTCTCTCCATAGTTTTTCAAATTCCGAAGATAATACATTTTCTTTCATATTATATTATCTTGTAATGGTTGCCATTATTCACTGCAATTCAGTTTCTCAAATCCAACAGAGAACTGTTTCTTACACTCTAGCATAAGTAAGTGCTACAGTAACAGTGGTTAGGTATAGTTGATGCAATTTGTTGCTGGGTTCAACATTTGGTATTAAAACTGCTGTGGCAACAGGAGGAAGAGGATTGCGGTAAACTTTAGTTGCTTTAATGACTGTGAAGTTGTGATTTATAAAGATAGGAGAGGACCTGGCATTTAAAAAATACAAAGAACTTCAAGGAAAAAAATCAAGTCCTGCAGAAAAACAAAACTGAAATATTAGGTTATTGTAAGCCTTTTAAGAGACTGGAAATACTGCCAACAATAGAGTAATATAACTTGATGTCCATTTTACAAACACATTGCAATGTACTATATTAACTTTGCCTCTTCCTCAACATACTTGCTTAGCCTTTTTTTTTTTTTTTTGAGCGTGAACTTGGTTTAGAGAATAAAGAAGTGGTAGGAAGAAGGAAGGCAATGTAGGATATTGACAACACAGTTTATATAATAATTTTGGAGCTGGTGAGGGAATTTGGAGGTCAACAAGATTGAAAAAGGAACCAAGACAGCAAGAGGATAATTAAGCTCCAAAGACAAATGCCGGAAGTGGGTGGGGTCAATGCAAATTTAGCAATAAGTAAATCATTAAGCACTTTTAAAACCACCTTTGTTCCCCGGTTGGGAATGCCAGCCAGCACATCCTGGGCCAGGTTTCCAAAGACAAAGGGTCTACACACCATCAAACCTTCAGCAAGACTCTTCACCTACCTGGATTCTTTTTTTAAATTTAAAAAAGTGGCTTTGCCCTTTCTATTTTTAGGTTACTTTAAAGGACCTTTAAATTATGTGACTTACTGGGGAAAAAAGCTTTTATTTGCTCAGAGAAAGCAAACTGCCCGCAGAAGCCAAATCTACAGAAATTCAAAAATTTCAACTATAGTACAACTTGGTGACTACCAAATTATAACTGACTCAACGCCTTTCTTCCTGTACTTTATCTTTTCCCCAAGCTCAAACCTGGTGCTAGCCAGGACTAGTACACACCCCCAGGGCTATTTCATTCCATTGGTTGGCAGGATGTCCAGCAGTCTACACCCTTTAGATTTACTGTCAGGTCGCCCGGTGTTTATTTGTCAGAGATGTTACATTGCTCTTGTATTACTTTTCTTGCTTCCTTTTTTGCACAAAACAGAAATTACAGGGTAGAAAATGACCTAATTTAAAAGATCAAGGTAAAATCAATATATTCATTTGCCTAAAACTGTCTACATTTAAAACCTAGGGGGCAATTAATTTTGGACGTTCCTGCATGATCTGCCACTACTATAAAAAAGAGTGGAAAAAAATGCGAAAACAATTATTTCATAGTTTGCATTCGTGTGAGTCATAGAAGCCCACAAAAACTTGCACAGGCACAATCAGATGGGCCGGACACTCCCTCTCGTAGAAGTGCATTTTGTCAGGACCCACCCTGTGAGTCACAGATCCTGGATCAAAAGAAGAGCGGTGCAGTGTCTGTTCTGCACACAGCATCAACATATGCAGAAAACCGGGATGATGGCTCGCGGGGGGCAAGGAGACAGGACCAACCGTGTGGTGGTCTTAAGGCGGAAAAATTACTAGGCACCCGAGCCTGATGCACCCGATGTGGGAGGTGGGCGACCTCGGAAGGGGCCCGGCGCCCGCGAGGCGGCCCGAGCGGCGGCCCCCCGGCTGCGAAGCGGCGGGGTGGAGCAGGGGCGCGGGGTTAGAGCGCGGGGGCCGGTTCGGGGAGGGGGGGCGCTCACCTCCCTTGCAGGGCGTGCGGTGCTGGCTGTGCTGGGCCCGGTAGCCTTCGATGACCTCCCAGGAGCCGTCGTCGCGCCGGATGGGGAAGGACAGGCTTAGCACATGGTTGCAGGGCTTGATGATCCGCAGGATGCCGCGCACCCGGTTGCGCTTCTGATCCTCGCTCTCCCGGGTCTTGAGGTCCTCCACCAGCTTGTCCTCCACGATGCTGGCGCCGCGATCGAAGAAGCCCTCCACCATCTTGAAGAAGTTGGGGTCGTCCTCGCGGTCGGCCACCGCCTCGCTGTAGTGTCGCCGGGCGGGCAGCGCGAGCCCCGGCTGCGGGGCGGCGGCGGGCTGCCCCCGGGCCCGGCCCAGCAGCGCGGCCGAGTCGGCAGCCGCCGAGCCGAGGACGGCGGGCCCGGCGCGAGCCAGCAGCAGCGCTTCCCCGAGGCAGCGGTACATGGCGGCGGGGCGGAGGCCGCGGAGCCGAGGCGCTCTCGGAAGCCCGGGGACGGAGAGAGGGAGGAAGGGCCCGCTGCGGGCTGCCTTTTTAAGCCGCAGTTTCCTGCCTTCCTGACTGTCCCCTCCCCTCCGGCGCTCGCCGCCTAACGGAGAGGACGGACTTTGAGGACCGCGGGCCGACGTCGCCAGTGAATGGCAGGGCGGGGGGCGCGCGCCGCCCAGGGAGCCCGGCCTCCGCCCACGCCGCGGCCTCGCCCGGCCTCCCTGGCGGCGGCGCGTGCCGGCGGGGCGCGCCCGGCGCGCATGCTCGCTCCGGCTCCGGTGGGAGGGGCGCGGGCCCCCGCGGGCTGCCGGGAGCTGCGGGGAGCCGCTGTTTCAGGTCTGCGCGCGGCCGGGGTCTCCCCCGGGTGGGGGTGAGGGGAGCCAGGGCCGGCGGGGGGTCTCCCGAGGCGGGGGTTCTCCCAGGGAGAGGCCCAGGCCGGGCCCGGGCCCAGTTCCGGGTTGGGGGTGTCCCTGAGGCGCGCTCTCCCTGGCCGCCTCCGGGGGGCGCTGCGAGGCCGGGCCGGGGACGTGCGGAGGTGAGGATGGTGCGGTCTGGCCGCGGGCCCGGGGCGAGTGAGTCATGGGTGTCCCTCCTTTCCGCCCGCGCGCCCTCGGGCGGGGCCGCTGCCCCGGGGCCTGTCCTCGTGCGGCCCGGAGGGGCCCCTCGCGGGGCTCTCGCTCCGGGCGGGAGGAGAAGTTCAAGATGTGGCGCTTGGAGGCTGAGCTGAGGGTTTGGCTTGTCAGCCGCACTGCGAGGAAGTTAATGTCGTCCAGAGTCAGGGTTTTTGGGGGACTTGCAGAAACTAAAGAAAGTCTGGGAGTTGGGGATCTCTTGCTGTCTGACTTTGCTACTTGAATTAAGGTTTTGATTTTGTCCCTTTCAGCTACTCAAATAGGCTGAGATAAAATAGTTAGGCAAATCACTGTTTTATCTTCCTGTCAGTTACTGTGCTTCCTCCTTTCAGAAACGTTCTTGAAATGGCCCAAAAACAAGGTCACTTACTGTAGAAATGCAAAAATATCCCAGGAAGTCCTTTCTCAGTACTATTTCTGCTAAATCCTTCAGGGTAGGATTGGCAAACTTTAAGCTACCTGAGGGTTTAATTATTCACTTACATTAGACTCCTGTGGGTGCCCTAGGACTCAGACTTTTAAGAAAACCTGCCAAAGGCCCCTTACTCGCTTAAATGGACCCAGTGTCCTCCGGTGGTTTTAAAATGGCAACTTTTTGATCCTCAAAACTACTTTGCTTCCTTAAAATTCGCTTTACTCATCTATTAGAATATGGAAAAGAATATTCTAATTCTCACAGTATTCTGTTAAGGGTAAGGTGGCAATCTAGGTCAATTAAATTACATTCATCTAAGTGTACCCTCAAAGCAAAAAAGATGGAATTTATATTTTACTTTCTTTGCCAGATAAATGGTAGTTATTTATATCTGAATTGTGTCTTTTAGCGAAAAACATCCTCTGAACTGTGCCCTGAATTTGTGGTGTTGATAAAAAGATTTAAGATATCAAATTTCCTTTTCATTTGACAGTATTTTCATTTTACATTATAATTCAACCCCCCATCTTGGAATTTCAGAATATAAAGTGATTATCATCAGTAAACATGTGGACATTTTTTCTCTTCAGATTAAATTCTTTGGTATGTTTTGAGGAAAGTGGTTTAAAAGCTTAATTTATTGCCCTTGTTTATCTCTTTCTTGATAACCATAACCTTCAGAAAAATAAATGTTTAACTTTGCTTCTTCCAGTTTTGTTCACCTGAATTCAAGAAGGTGGAAAGACTTTGGAAGGAGTGAGGCCATTATTTTTGGGAGTTTTCTCTGTGCAGATAACTTACAAAATGGCACCACAAGAATGTGATAAAGTAGATGCTTTTATATTTAAATCTTCTTTATTTTTTAACTTATAAATAAGTTGTAAAAAAAAAATCAAACAGAACAGCATCTTTCTTTGTTCATGAAGAAAACCTTTGCCAAAGTCTTGCCAGTCAACTTCAGCTTTCTTAGACTCCAGTAGCTAGAATTGGGTTATATTTGTTGTCCATGTCCTTGCTGTAAGGGAGACTATAAGAAGGACTTTCTGGAACTTTTAACTTCTGAAATATAGGCAGGTTCTGCCAACAAGAAAGAAAGGATGAAGGGAATTGCTAAGTTGTTGAGCAGTAGTCTTTGCAACATTTGCCACTGAAAAGAACTGACCTACTGTGTACTATCTTATGGAGATAATTATATTTTCTCATAATACATCCTTTAATACGACACTGGGAATTATGATGCTTGCAGTTTAATGTGCATTGAGAAATCTGCAGATTCTAGTTTACTTTGAAAACTGTCAGTGTGTTTCAAATTATTTACATTAAGAGATTTGCAGTTTTACTTCCTTTTGAGATCCTGGACAGTATAAGTTTTGCTTTTTGCCTTTTCAGTTAACCTGTGGCCAGCAAGGGTCCAAAAATATTATCTAAAATAAGATATTTTGAGAGACACTGAGAGTGCATTCACTCCACTTTTATTATAATATCTTACTATAATTGTTCTAATTAATGGTATGATTATGTTAATCTCTTACTGTGCCTAATTTATAAGCTATCATAGGTATATATGTAAAGGAATAGATATATGTATAGGGATGTTTCAAGCATCCATTGGGGGTTATGGTACACGTAAAGGGGGACTACTTTATAAATAATGATAGATTTAAGATTATGCCTCCTTTTTTGAATAGCCTTTTTTTTTTTTTTTTTTTACCACTGACAGCCTGTACGGCAATAACCCCAGTTGTGATGTTCATTCTGTTGTCATATAAATGGGTAGAACAGAAACCCATTCTCAATCTGGGAGTTAAAAAAGTTTCAGGACTTAAGAGGAAAGTTGTAATGAAAGGCTCAAATTAAAGCAAGCAGGTATCTCTACCCTCACACGCTTTTCTCTAGGTTGGGTATAAAATGAAATTATTTTTGAATAATAGTGATTTACATTTATATCTTCTCTAATGAATTATAGCCTCTGATTATCTTTTGTAATTTCATATTTTGTATGTCTCATTTTTACATTCGGTACAACAAACACACAAAAAGGAACCAATTCATAAAGAAGCAATCACAACTAACTTTAAGTTAATTAGAAAAAGTTGAAGTGGAAAACACTAAAAAACCTAAACCCCCCAAAATTACTTATCGATTATGGTTTTTACTTATTTTAATGTTTCCTTAGCAAGATATTAAAAAGTTTACCAAGTGAGGATAACAGAAGACTGACTCCTTCATTCTCCACATTTCAACTACATTTCTGACCCAACTCTCTATGTTTGATCTTGGAAACAGAATAGATGAGGCAGCAAGCTATATTTAGATTTTATTCCTAGCTTATTTTCATAGATTCTTATTTCTAGTCTATATCATTATTTTTTCATACTGGCTCTCATTTTGGGACATTTAAATTTTCTAAGTTTTCTCTATCAGATAAAGCAGTAATAACTGAATTAGAAAATTTAAAAATAAGATAAAACTTGAAAATTCTGAAAAGCAAAAGAATAATACATAAAAATATGCATGTAGTATTATTAAGCACTCCATGATGTAATTAAGGTACTGCTAATTGAAAACGTAATCACTGGGTATATTCAAATTTCCACTTTTATAAATTTGTTTTTGAAATAATAATTTGTATTGAAATAATTTAGAAATTATTTTGTTTTTAAAATAAATTTCTATTGAGATAACATATCATTATCATTATCAAGGGTTATGTCATTACTTAAGTTTCAGATATATAGCGTTAAAATTCAACATCTGTATACATTACATATACTACACTAAAAGTCTAATTTCTATCCATCACCATACAATATTTGTTCCATTTCTTTGAAGAATGCCATTGAGATTTTTATCGGAATTGCACTGAATCTAAATTGCTTTGGGTAGGATGGCAATTTTGATAATGTTGATCCTTCTAATCCATGAGCAGAGAATATCTTTCCATTTCTCTGTTTTCTTCTATTTCTTTCTTTCTTTCTTATAGAGGCATGCTTTATTTATTTATTTATTTGTTTGTTTGTTTGTTTATACATGCACTGGGTACAGTCAGAAGCGCGGGAGGGTGAGAGAATTCACCAGAGCCAGAGCGGGGAGCAGAGCAGGAAGAAGGACTGAAGTACCCTGCTGAGGGGAGCAGCGGGGGGCGGCAGGAGAGGTCTGCGCGCCATGTGGGACCCTCCTCCAATGGCTGGGGAGCAGCCGGGGATGGAACCGGCGCCGCAGAGGCCGCGGGCAGCTTCGCAAACCAGCGCTCAACCGCTGCACCACCGGGGAGGCCCTCTTCTATTTCTTTTTAACAGTATAATGTTCCTTGTGTAGGTACTTCACCTCCTTAGTTGGATTTATTCCCAGGTATATAAATTTCTTTGGGTATGATTATAAATGGAATGGTTTTCTTAATTTCTTCCTCCTAAGGCTGATTGCTTGCATATAGGTAGGCAACTGATTTTTGTGTATTGATTTTGTAACCTGCCACTTTACTGATTGGTTTATTGTTTTAATTAGTTTTTCCACGGGGCAGCAATTCTTCTGCCCATCTGTGACTCTGCAGGTGTTTTACTTCACCCACTTTCTCACTTTGCAAAGCAGCAGAGATAGCTCTCCTCCCAAGGCTGCCTGCCTGTGACTATCCAAGTCACTCTTAACAAACCTGTCCCTTTCAGGGACACCTCTTGTGTCTATGCAAGTGTCCCTTATTCTTCTCTCCCTTTTTATAGTAAACTTGACCTTTTGGATATTAAAAAAAATTAATTTGGGGGCCTCCCTGGTGGCGCAGGTAGTTGAGCTCAGCGCTGTGAAGCTGTCGGCAGCCTCTGCAGTGCCGGTTTTGATCCCTGCTGGCCGCTGAGCAACCCACGTGGCGCCGCAGACCTCTCCTGTCTTACCTGCTGCTCCCCTCAGCAGTGTATTT